AAACAAACGCATAATTTTGCAACATGGATCCATATCAGAAATACCCCAATGGCATCTGAGGTCTCACAAATTAGTACACCAGTGAATGATCCATTGGTGAGTTTTCTGTATTTCAGAGGTGTGGTTAGGAATGAACAGGTAGAGGAATTAGGGGGCTGATGGGGGTGGGTGAATGTTGTTTATACAACTCAAAGTGCATGTTATGTCTATGGAATAATGTAAGGACTAAATACCTAAAACAGAATTTATAATCAAAATAAAAAATAAAAGCTATATTTGATGTTACCATTTAGGTTATCAACAAGCAAAAAATGCTGGAATTAATGCAAAACACCCTAATAGTATCACAAGAAGCTTCATACATGAGTATTTGGGTAGCAAAATCAAGAGGTGCTCTAGAAAACAGAGTAAATGAGCTTGCATCATTTGAAGAAAGGGAGGCACATCTGGAACAAAGGGTCATTGAGGTACTAATAATTTGTATATGCTTATTGTAATAGCTATATCAATCGATATCCAATAAGACAAAATTATTATGTCTATTAAAGGTCATTGAAAAAGATGTTAAAAGGCTGCAAGAATTTGCCAACAATCCAATCCACTGCCATYGRTATGGGGTCCATCCCTTTGCAAAAGTAGATGGAGGGACAGCACTAAAAAATGTACATCTTTTGGATTGTAAACCAGGTATGAAATAGAAATAAAAATTAAGAGCTTGTTATGGTTAATATGACAAACTTTTAGTTTTTATTTTGATTTAATTCACTTTTTAGCATTGAATATACTTTACTTTGGGCTTTATTATTATAAAATTATTCTACAACAAGTGCATTAATGCCTTTAATGTGTTCATATCTGTAGGAGCTGTCAAGACAGTACCAGACCTAAAAACTGTTTGGTGTGAATTGGTTTCAAAATATCCAAAGTTGTTTGAAAACAAATGTGTTCCTGTTCCTGGTGATTTCCCCATTTTTAGAGATACAATGAGAATCATTTACAGATATGATGAAGAACTGGCAAAAACTCTTGTGCCCTTTCCAGGTAATCAAAATTAACATCAACTAAAAACTAAAAACTGCTGCATAATGATAAGCAAATATAAAAGAAACTGCCCTTTAACACATTCCCACTCCAATTTGGCAATAGAGTACCAATTAACAATTTAATTGACATCAGATTTTTATATGTGTGTCCTCTTATTGACRATAAATTGCATCATCGCATTGTCAAAGTAGTGTGGATCAACGAGGGTGGCGCACCTGAGTGGATCTGCATACAACTTTGACAATGTGATGGCGAAATTTATTGTCAATAAGAGGACAGACACATAAAAATCTGATGTCAATTTGTTAATTACAATAAAAAAAACAAGAAAAATTATAAACTTCTCTTTTCTGGTGATCAAAAGAGCGCATGCTCAATGACGACAGCTCTATCTGTCTGTCCTCTTATTGATGATAAAAGTCAACCGATCAGCGTCATGAAATTTGTAAGTTAAATTGTAAAACATGTATTGTTTCATAAGTGTTATTCATACAAATGGTAGCTTCCCATAGGAGTCATCCTTATAGTTGTTATAATAATAGTAATAATAATCATTAATTTATCTTATTCACTTTGGTGCTCACCCTTTATGTGCAAAACATTTATTTTGAAGCTAATTTCCACATGGGGAAAAGTGCCCATTCTGGTCTTTGGATACACTTCTATGACTATATCATCAAACCTTTGTATCTTTACCTTCATCCAAGATCCGTCCCCATTAGGTATGTATTGTTAATAGTAATAGCTAAATTCCATACATGACTTCTTATATTGATGACAATTTTCATTAATCA